ATATTTTATATATATATATATATATATATATATATATATATATATATATATATATATATATATATATGTATGTACATATATATGTGTGTTTTAATATGTATTAAAAAAACGTTTGGTTGAACTGACTGAATGTCTGGTGAAATATGAATGCATCAGAAATCCGGTTGAAGTACATTCTGTTTAAATTAACAAGATTTCTGATCATAACTTAAACACACACACACACACACAGATGCAACTTCTGATTAATCAGAAATCTTGTTAACTTGAAAGTTGGAAATTTTGGTGTATTAACCAGAAATCTTATTAACTTGAACAAATTTCTAATAATTTCACAACCATTTTTCTTTGCTTCGTTCATATCTTATCAAACATTTGACTAAACTAATCAAATTTCTTGCTCGTGTAGAAGTAATGCGTTGGAAGTAAAACGAAAGAAAGTTAAATTTATCTGCCGTATTGTCTCTTTATGATAAAATATAACAGAAAGGAACTTCGGGCAGGCACTGATGAAAATACAAATTTAAATGGAATGTGCGTCTTCGCTGACGCGTAACGCGAAAGAGAATGATTTAAAGAAACGAGTCTCTCCTTAGATGAAAAGCCAAGGGGTCTTGATTTATCGCACTCGATCGGCCCCATGAAGATTTAATCTACTACGCGAGCCTACATTGCCGATCCGAGCCTGCCGTGAATTAGAATTTACGTAAATCGAAAAGTTATAATGAAACCCGCAAATCTGCGTGACTCGATCGTGTGATATATTTAGATTAAACTTGACGATTTCTAAAATTTCCCGATAAGATAAATGTAATCTGCGTCTCTCAAAACAAGTTTGGAAAACAAGATATCGGCAAATAAAATATCTGACAATAAGATATCTGACCAAAAAATATTGGGAAAAATACTGAATGTACATATTACAACAAATTTCGACGAATTATCAGCGAAAAATTAATAACAAAATAATCAACTAGCTTTTTTGATCAGCTCGTTGATTTCAGTCATTATAGGAATATATAAAAAAATATTGAATGGCATGATAATGATGTCTGTGTGTGATTGGTGCATAAACAAAAATAGTTGCATGAACAAAAATAGTTGTAACTGAAACAATAAAATCGTGTAAGTTTTATTTTGTGTTTGTACTTCACAACAAAATATAAGATATGGATATGTAGTTTATGTTAGTATTTAATTCTATATTGAATCTTTATTCATTCCTGAAGGAAAGGTTGCGTATAATTTGTGTGTGTGTATAAAACTGAAGAGATGGACTTTACGCTTCTGGTGAGTGCGAATTGTCATGGAAGGTACACAGAGCGAATCTTGTTTACGTTTCTCTTTAGTTTAATTATTACGCTCGTCTGCTGTAATTGTCTACACTTGCATTCGATTGAAGAGTACTACGACGAAGTAATTGCGCCTTAGCAAAGGCGACCAGACAAGCGTCAGCGTCGAATGGTGAGCTAGTCGGTAGGGACGCCAATTGTGCAATAAGCGCCGCTAACGTGATTTTGCATGTTAAACTTGCCGAATTCTTAGATACAGACTCGTTAGCAGCATATTCGTTAATAACTCTTGAAAAAATTCGATCGAAATTACACACACACACACACACACACATATTACGTATTTAAAAAGAAAATCCTACCTCTATAAAAAAAATCTTTTCCGTCGAAAAATTTAATTATTACAATATCAGGTATTTAAGCTTAGTTATTTTCAAGTAGTCATTATCAGGTATTTTAGCTTAGTTATTTGACAAAGTGTTTCCACGAGAGGAAGTGTTTATCGTGTAATATCAAGATACTCATTGCATTGCATATATTACTTCAGGCGCAGAGTTTTGCGTGCCCCGCATAACTCGTTTTGCGATTTTATTCGCAAATAAACCGGCTAAAAATAAGCGTAAAGTTCTGCGCGAAAGCGGCGGATACCGTCGGGTAGATATCCGTCGACATTTTATCGACACAGCGGGTATTAAATTCCGTAATGAAATTGGACCGTGACTTCGGTACTCACAGCCAGAAATTTATATCTCAATTAAAATGCGGTCCGCTCTCGCGTCATATATAAATCAACCGTGAATTTTACGCCGTTCTCGCGCTTTTCCGTCGTGATTCCCGTTCCGATCGACGAACCAAGATCTCTCATCTATGTCTTTTTATAAAATAAGAAGACGTAATCGTTTCCAGATAATGCATTTACGATTCGTGTACATACGGAGATAACCTATCGCGTTTAAAATGTCTTATCGATACATACAACTATCGATCACACATATCGGCTAAGTATTTTCAAAATAGCAGCAGATACGATCGTAACTGATTAATCAGCAAGCAAATAATTATCAAATAGAAAAAGCGACGATATTATGGAGAATATTATAGAGAAATTGTGCAGGAGCGGAGATGTTATAGTCACCACTGTTGTGATGATTATCGATGACATTCTGTGCATGTGTATGTTAATACTTATTAATTAATTCAATTAATTTATACACATATTATGCATGAAAAATTATCGCAGATTTCTCTAAAATTT